CCCCATCCCTGGAGGTGTTCAAGGCCAGATTGGATGGGGCCCTGGGCAGCCTGGTCTAGCATTAGGTGGGATGGTTGGTGGCCCTGCATGTGGCAGGGGGGTTGGAGATTCATGATCCATGAGGTCCCTTCCAACCCTGGCAATTCTGTGATTCTGTGATTCTCTTGCTTACTGCTTGAGTTGAAATATTTTTCCTAACCCACTATACAGGAGGCAAGATCAGTAGATTAAAGAGGTGTGAGGTGTTCTATAAGCTTTCACTGTTATTATTAATGATTCACGTTTATGATTGCAGTCTATGTTGGGTGCATTACTGTCATTCACAGCGCAGTACAACCTCTTAAGAGCACAGGAGTAGAAAAATAACAAAATGTTGGAAGTCGAGTAGATGGCACAGAAGGCCAGCTTACTGAGCAGGAACCTCACCTGCAGTTCAGGTGGAAAATGAAAGTATTGCCACTGAAGAGAGAGAGGTCAGGCGGCAGGAGAATGCTAAGGAAACCAGACACCCTTTATAAAGAAGGATCTCACACAGGGTGCCAGGTTAACTGACCTGAGAGGAAAAGACAGAATATGCTTATAGTATGGTGTTGTTTTTTGTTTCTTTTGATTGTTTGATTGTATTAAATTAAAGAAGCAATGCAAACTCTGTTTTGGAGAAGGATTACTATGAAAGATTACGATGTCATTACACATTTCCCAGTTGTAATTCAGAACATCCTTGTTTGCAAGTATGGTGCAAATTGGTACTGAACAGTTTCCTTAGCCAACTAACTATTAGAAGATACTACTGGATATATATCTATATTGGAAATCTCTGTTAAAATCTAATCTAACTGTTCAAAGTCTGTTTTCTTTGTTATCATTAATTGGACATATAGTCAGTGCTTTAGCAACAATAGAAATCATGCCAAACAGAGGCGAGATGTAGATGAAATCCATTTCCATTATTTGTGTATCACATAACAACTGTCATAACTTACTGAGTAAGCATCTTGTCACTTCCTCAATTCAGGACCATAAGATAAAATGTTCAAAAACAGATGGAAGTGGAAGAATAGCAGTGATATTTAAGACTCTGGCCAAGCAGACCAATAGCCAAAGGAATACAGCAATGGTAACAAGTTGTAGGTGAAGCTGTATGAGTGGTGCGGATGACAACACTGTTGTCAGTATTTGTAATGAAAAGCAGATGTAGCTATTAAAATCAATGCATCTAGTAAATTAACACAAATGTTTTATAGGTTTTTTTATTATTATTTCCTGCACACTTTAGTAGTTTTTTCACATAATATGAGTTTCTAGGTCCTAATAAATGAAATCTATCACGCTAATTTTATATACACTTCCTGAAATTAATCAGAAATCAGAGGATCCTTCCACATCATGTTGCAAATTATGAGGGAACATAAAATTACTTCCTCCCAGTTGGAAAGAATAGAAGTCTGCTGAAGGCTTATCTTTAGGGAGTAGAATTAAAAGCAAAGTCGAAGAGCTGACAGCAATATGTAGTCTCCACTCACAAATCTTATCAATGAAGCTTCCACTACAATCACTGGTCTCCTTTTGAGCTTGAGGAAGTGAAATATGTTTGCTAAGAGACACCTGAGGAGAATGCATGCCAAGAATCTGATTCCTTCACTCTTTCTTCAGTAGTAAAACTAACAACATATATTTCTTCACTCCTGTTTTATATCATAGAACATAGAACGGCATGGGTTGGAAGAGACCTTAAAGCCCATGGCATTCCAACCCTTCTGCCATGGGCAAGGCTGCCACCCATCAGATCAGACCGCCCAAGGCCCCATCCAAACTGGCCTTCAGTTTCTCCAGGGATGAGGCATCCACAGCTTCTCTGAGCAGCCTGTGCCAGTGCCTCACCACCCTCTGAGTAAAAAATTTCCTCTTAATGTCTGATCTAAATCTCCCCTCTTTTAGTTTTAAGTCTTTCCCTCATGTCCTTTTACTATCAGAATGTGTAGTAAGTGGGTCTCCATCCTGCTTATATTTTCTCACCAAGTACTGGAAGGCTGTAATGAGGACTCCAGAGAGCCTTTTCTTCTGGTGGCTGAAGAAGCCCAACTCTCTCAGCTTGTCTTAATAATAGAAGTGCTCTAGCCCTCTGATCATCTCTGTGGCTCCACTCTAGACCTGCTCCAAACGCTTCAAATCTTGTGCTGGGAGCCTCAGGCCTGGATGAAGTACTACAGCCACCTCCGTCTCCCTTTGGCCAGCCCTCTATTAATGCAATGAAGGATAGATCTGGACTGCCAGCACACGTGGTTGGCTCCCTTCGAGCCTTTCACCCACCAGAACCCCAAGTGGTTTTCCTCAGAGTTGCAATCAGTGAGTTCCCAGCCTCTATACATACCTGGGATTCTTCAACCCAAGTGCTAAACACTGCATGTGGCCTTGTTGCATCTCATTACGTTCTCATGAGCCCACTTTTCAAATTTATCCAAGTCCCTTTCCATGGAATACTTTCCTTCTGTAATATCAACTACACCACTCAGCTTAGTGTCATTAGCAAACATTTTGAGGGTGCAGTCAATCTCATATCCAAGTCACTGATGAAGATGTTGAATAGCACTGGTTCAAAGACAGACCCTCTGGGGATACTATTCATCACCAATCTCTGCCTGGATGTAGAGCCATTGACCACAGTATTGTGTCTCCTCAAGATTGAGAGCTAGCTTAGCTTCTTCCCTTTCAGGAACTCAAGATAGAGCTGTCAGTCTGTCCATGTCACTGTGCAATATTACATATCAATTTCTCTGTCTGATATCTAAATATTACACTGCCTGGTGATTTCCTCACACCACATGGCCACCTGTTCAAAAAGTTCATCAAGCTGGGCACATTTGCACCCATGACACCTCCGTCTGCCCTTAGGCCCTTGAAGGACTTCCAGATTCTGAAGTTCCCCAAAACTGAAGGCCTGGGCTGCTCAGTTGCTCACGATGAGCTCTCTCTGGGTGCATGCATCAGCCCAGAAACGTTGTGGCTCCCAGCCTGGGTTTCCGACACAGTCTGACAGTTGCGGCAGGTGGTCACCATGTTAGTTTCAACAGAGTGCATCTTCATGCTGCTCTCAGAAGAGAGAAAGAGTGGGCTGCCTGCTGGGTGTCGGCTGTGCTCCTTCCTGAAGCTTTACATTATATCAGAAAGACATTAAGTATAGAACCATACAGAGTTTGGTAACTTCCCCATACTAAGAAAGAAATTAAAATTTCTGATCTATTTCACAGCAGCTGTTCCTGTAGCACGTACAGTGCTGCAATCTTGAGTTACAAACAAAAGAAATAGCAACTTCACCCTTCTGAATGGAAAAATTCTTCAGGAACTGATTCTGTGAGCCAACTAAATGTACTTTCCTTGAAAGAGTAAGGCATAAGTCTGGAAAATTATCAAAGATATCACGATTCCTTGCAAAACTGTGTTACCCAAAGAGTGGGTCCAGCCCTTCAAAAACAGTCTGAGTGTCAGATGTTTGCTACCCAGAAATGTCAGGATTGTTCAGCATCCCAACCTCCATCCGTAGTCTAGCAATGTGGGATTCCATAAGTTAAGTTTTTGTCTATGTTTTGGAAATCTCTCATAACTTTTTTGTTCTGTTTTGTTTTGTTATTTATGAAATCAGGAAGATTAGCTAGTGCCTTGAAATGTCATGAAAGCTTCTCAGTGAAATTGCCTGAGCCAAATATGCTTTAATGAAAAAATGTGAAGCTCTAGAGAAGTATCTGTGTTAACTGCAATTAGATTTGTTATCACAGAGTAGTTAAAAATGCAACATTTTTCTGAAGTGTAGTAGTTGTCAGACTCCAATAGACCAGCCAGAGAGTGACCTATTTTATGAAAAGCTCTAGGGGTAAAACATCTGTTGCTCCTATAGTGTAAATAACAACTGTGTAGTTTCTTCCTGTTAATTAGTTTAATAAGCTTAAAAAAAACAAGAAAGCCATGGTATAAATAAGTGCTTTCAGTCCTGCTTGGTTGATGTTTGAGACTTAAAACAAAAATATTGTTCTGACAAGCTAAATAACTGTAAAGGTCTCTTAGGCTCTAATGACATATAAGGGGCTTTTTTCCCCTTGGAAACAGCACGTACCAACCTGTCTATGCAGAAAATGCTGGAACATGCTGTCTACCTTCAATACCATATGGCTAAATATTTTATTAAACGTTATGCTGCAAACAAACACAGGCTATTCCAGATTAAGATTTGCAGACAGCATGATACAGTGAGTTGGATTTCCATCCACCGTCACAGTCAGTTAGAAAGTTACTTTAGAAGGCAGACCAAAAACATTTCTATGTCAAGCGTGTGGTACCACTAACACTAGCGTGTGTTTGTGTCTTTACATCTGACCCTTATGAGTCCTCCTGGAGGCACTTAAATCAAAGCAATTACAGAGACACAGAATAGTACACACTTTAGAAATTTTCAATTCCTGTTTACCAGTCATAATGGAACTTGAGGGAAAGCATAGAGCAGTGTCAGGGGAGGGTCGAGCTGAGTGTTAGGAAAAGGTTCCACACCAGAGGGTGGTGGGCACTGGACCAGCTTCCCCAGGGCAGAGATCACGGCATCAAACCATTCAAGAAGCATTTGGACATACTTCAGACATAGCACTTGGTCATAGCTCAGATAGCATTTGGATTTTGTGTGGTCTCGTGTGGAGACAGGATTTGGCCTTGATAATCCTTGTGGATCTCTTCCAACTTGAGATAGTCCGCTCTACAATCCTGTGATGTACTTACAGATGGATATTCAGCATCACCTTACTGCAAATATGAGACGTCTACAGAGTTAGTTTTTTATTTCAGTATTCATTGCCTGTCTTCCTGTGAATGTAATCTGTGGAGTAAAACAACTACTAAATAATTAACATTAAAAACAAACTGTACAATACTGAGTGGTTTACTGTATTTTAAAATCTCACTATTCAGGACTGCTTTTTTTTTTTTTTTTTTTTTAATCTTTGTGGTAGTCATGACTGTGCAAGAACAATAGAAAGTGAATAATAAATTTCATGAAAATTAGTATGTGAAGCAGAGGTGAACTGGAAAGTACAAGCAGCTCTGAGTTCACTGGGAGATAACAGGAGTTCCCCTTTCTCCATCAATACCTGCCATGATGACACACCTGGAATCACAAGTGTAATCCACGACTATGAGAGCACAGTAGTTTCTCCATTTGCACCTATCTCAGCTGCAGATCTTCTGTGCACAAAAAATATTTTCATCACTTTGACTATGTCTATATTCCAGTGGGTAGCGATCCTCAGACATTCTGATCACATTGTTCCTTACAGACGGCAGTTGTTACCGTGACTGGTAAGTTGTTATTTCTCTGGACATGCTCAGACCTGAAGGGCCCTGCATGCTCCCATGGCTTCTATCTATGAGGCAGGCAGAAATAATTTTGAGGACAGTATCAACAAGCACTGAAGATGTAACATTTTTCCTCTCTATCACAAATGAAGTCACACTATCTGAGCATGCTGTGACATAATTAGCATTTCTGAAAGCAAGTCCACTTATTCTGGCATGCAGATGTGGCTGAGTTGTTTCTGTCTAAATGAAACAGTTTGTTTTAAAAATATCCAATTCAAGCCATGATATAATCATGAGTAAAGGATATTCCAAACTGAATTTGGCAAGTTATGAGCAACTCAGTCTGGCTTTGAAGCTGGCCATGCTTGTAGAAGAGGTCTGAACTAGGTAAGATCCGGAAGTTCCTTCCAAACAAAATTATTATGTGAAGTGTAGCAAATATTCCCTCACTCAGCATTAATAACTCTGAAGCCCTGTTATGATCATTTCAGTGACAAAATAGTTAATGTTTTGCTGTGAAGCTTTCAGTAAAGTTCTCTAGCTAATTACCCTATTATAACAACCGTTACATTTACTGATATGAACCGCAGTTTGTTTCCATGGTAAGGCAGAATATCAAGCAGAATACATACATGGCCCTAACAAGCAGGATTAAAGAAACATTGATATGACCTGGTCATCAATTTAGCGATAGCCTGGAAAACAAGTAATTTTTACTTAATGAGGTAAGAATGAGCTGGAGGAGGAGTTATGCAGCTTCCCCTGGGAAGAGGGCTTGGTTGCATCTGATTTTCTGGTAATGTTATTTATTCAATGACATTATAATTGTCTACTTTGCAGGCTTCACTGCATGCTGTCACACTTATACGTGAATCTTGGACAGCTTTCTCAGAAGCTCTTTGTGGTAATTTCCCACAGAAAAAGGAGTGATACAGAGAATATCACTGCTTGGTAGACAGTAATAGGCACATCATCAATACTCAGAAATGGAGATAATGGGAACCAATTGGTCTTTCCGTCACTCACAGAGGTGGTGTGCTGACTTCATCAGAAGTCAATTTGCCTTTATTCAAAGGAATATTCACACATGAACTTCCTGCTCAGCTAACGTTAATGCCAGTGTGAGGAGACATTTGAAAAAATAATTGAAACGTCACAGAGAGAATAAAATCAGGGCCTTGACAGGTGCACCACTGAGGTGTTCAGGTTCTGTTTTGTTCATTTTGTGAGGTGCCAAGCAAAGGCACTGCCTTCAGGCTGATGTCAAGGGAACATTAGGATGTGCGGCACACTCGTGCCAACATTTCCTCCGGCACTCCGCAATCAAAAGGGGCTGAAGGGATCCCCGAGATCAGCAGCAGAACGCTCCACCACCAGAGAGGTTTTCCCGCCTTTGAGGGCGTGTGCTGCTCCTCCTCAGCCCTCTGAGGGCTAGGGGTGCACGGGGTGGGGCGAGGCAGGGCCCCTCACAGGTACCTGCTGCACTGCCTTCTCTCTGTGCTTCTGACAAGCAAAAGGCCTTGCCTTGAGCTTGCTGCGCTCCGGAGCCTGTGAGAGGATCTCACTTCGACGCAGGCACTGGCTGTTAGCAAACTGCAGGACAGAAAGGCAAACGGCCACTGCAAGCTGGTGGACACCATTGGCTGGGATTGCAGCAGTTGGTACTGCCGTCTTCTCGCGTTGTGGAGAGACCTCTGCAAAATCGAGTGTTTGAACTGTCAGAGGGTCTTCCAAGAGTGAGCAATGAAGTAAGGTCAGCACCAGTGCTAGCGCTTGTCCTCAAAATGGGTGGAGCTCGGAAAAACAGTGAGGTGATTTGAAATGCCTGTTACAGAGTAATCACTGTATGCAGTTCAGATGTGCTGTTAAAAAATCAGGAGAGCCTCTTGGACGTTTTTGGTTATATATAGTTTTCAGTGTTATATGAAACAAAAAAGAAACCTTAAATTCCAAAGTAAGATCATCATAAGCAGTACTTAGAAAATGATTGTAAGAGATGGGGAGGTGGAGAGTAAATAATGGCGTCAGTTTTGTGGCAGTTGAAAACACATGTTAAATCTTTAGCCTACCTCCAAATGAAATAAATGCAGTTCAAAATAGGAGTGGGAGGCTTAAGAAAAATGCTTTTGGAGAACATAACATATAAAAATAATTACACAAAAAGTGATGAGTTTTCCTGCTGGAAAAATACACCATTAAAAATACAGCATATTACTTTTAATTTATTCTTTCTGTTCAGCAGGAGTTATATTCCCAGTGGCATCGTTGCCTAATGCTGCCAAATGCTTAGCACATCCTGTCTTCTACATAAACAAATGATGCCATGGAATATGAAAACACAAATAAAACAGCATGCAGCATGGCAGCTCCCTGAGCTTCCATCCTCAGTCAATATTCAGATAGATGTTGAAACAAGTTCATAAGCACGGCATGGAACAGTGATAGAGAAATGGATAAAATAGTGCCCATGAGAAAGACTGGAAAGATCACAGCTTAGCATTCGCATTGTACATTTAGATTGTCAAATAAAACATGTAATTGTTTTACAAAATTGATTGTCCTAAAAAACTGTTTGAAACTCAATTTGAATAATTCATTACATTGTAATAACAATTACAGGCTATTAAGATTACCAGCTTTGAAGAAAATTACGAAGTTATCTTAGAAGTATTGATTCTTAAAAATGACTGTTTTTTTTTAAATAGTTTTTAGTGTTACTAATGAATTCACATTAGTCCCTCTAATGCTAATTAGAGGAAATAGTGGACAGGAGAAAGCTCTATTAAACACACAGAATGATTTCTACTGTCTTTCTGCTTTTCTAAAGATGTTGCACATACATAAAGACCTGGAAATATTCTGTTTGGTTTTTGCTCAGTTGATTGTTTACATGTATATCTCAGCATAACTTCATTATAAGTACTTACATGCGGAAACGTCTTCAGTTTCTGGGTAGCATACGCATTCTATCTTCTGGATCAGCTCCCTCATTTCATCTTTATTTACTGTATGTAACAAAGACAGTTTATACATTCCTATGCAGAACTGATAGTTTGGTCCAGAATATATGCTTTATCTGCATTAGAATTATTGTTTGATGAAGCCTGATGCTCTAAGACACTTGAAATATTTTTAGAAACATTCATATCTTTTCTTTCAGATCCATCTTGCAATTGCATCTTTAAGATTCTGTAAGTAGAACTCCCTAAAACAGGAAAAACAGGAATTGTGTTACTAATCGGAAATTGTATGGGTGTGCTTCAAAATATTGATCTTTACTAACATGGTGAGGTTTATGTTCAGCAGAGTCTCATCACTGATACTAGTGTTTATAAGAAATTATTAGGATTGCTTATAAAAAGATATGTATATAGCTTTAAGTCTGAATAAAGTATTAGAGCACATAGACAGTTAAAAGATGTATATTCTGCATTAATATGTACCTTGTAAAAGCTCCTTTGTTTATGTAATATGTCTTAAGTTAATCAAACCTAATAGAGACTTACTCGTTGCCTCTAAAAGATGCAACGATTGTGGAGAACAAGTATTTCAAATCCATTCAATTTCTTGTTTTTAAAAGTGAGGAGATTTTTTTCAATGTTTTCAAAAGTGTGAAGTGCTTTGCTTACATTTGTGCATAGAAAATCTTCTGAAAATTAATAGATCTATTTTTTATATATGCAATTGTCACTGGATGAAATGTTCCAGAAATAAATGAATCACAGCCATGAAGAAAATCAATGTGGTGAATCTTGAAAAACTTTTAGATAACTTCTCAGAGATAGAAAAGGTAAGTGAAAAGAAAGTCTTAAAAGAGAGTTGAAATTGCTACCTATAAATATTTTTTTGATACTGTGGTAAGCTTTTCAAATAGTGTCAGCTAATTCTGATTAATATACCTTATAATAACAATGTTGTTTCAAAGCTTTTTGTATTGGTTTTATCTCAAAGTGATATAGTGATTTAAGAGAATAACAGAATCATGCAGTTTCCTGTGTTGGAAGGGTCCCACCAATATCACCAAGTCCAGCTCCTTCATAACACACAGATGTACGTGGCTTCATACAGAAACTCCCAAATGTTCAAAACCTATGTTCTGCCCTCTGGTGCAGACCCTTTCCTAGGGCCTCAGCCCTCCCCTGGCACAGCTCCATGCTGTTCCCTCGGGCCCTGTGACTGTCACACATAGCAGAGCTCAGCATTGCCTTCCACTCCCAGTGAGGAGCTGCAGTATGGCCTCACACACTGTACCCTCTAGAATCTCCTCTACCTGCATAGATCTCATTTGAATGCTAATATTTCTATTTCCTTCTCATACTGTGGTGCCCAACCTGTACACAGTATTCAAGGTGAGGCTACACAGCTCAGGGCAGAGCAGGACAGTCCTTCCCTCACCCACCTGGCAGTGCAGGGCCTGAGGCACCCCAGGGTGCTCTGGTTTCTTTGGGCAGCCAGGGCACACTGCTGACTCAGAGTCTATTCACCGTTGGCCAGAACCTCCAGAACCTTCTTTGCAAAACTGCTCTGCTGCCTCTCACCCCCCAGGTCTGTACGTACAGCCAGGGGTGCTCTGTCCAGCTGCAGAACCTGGCACTTGCTCATGTTGAACTTCATATGACTAGTGATTGCTCAGCCTTCCAACCTGCCACAATTTCTATGCAAGATCTGTGAAGTCTGAGAAGCATTTGTTTCTGTGCTAGAATTTTAATGGTGCTGAGGACAATTTTGGCTTCTCAAGAAAAGATTGGAATATCTCTTTCTAACAGATACTTCCACTGTTAATACAAGTATTACAAAGATCTGCTGGAATTTTGCTTCAGAAATTGTTCCTTGTTCTAGAACTTGTTATTAATATAGAATGAAAGATGAAGGTCTGTTTGTTCTTTCTGTTTGTTCTTTCTTTCTTTCTTTCTTTCTTTCTTTCTTTCTTTCTTTCTTTCTTTCTTTCTTTCTTTCTTTTTTCATATATATGCACTGAACTCTCTATGTGTAATTTCTTAAAGACTGATCCACTGAGGAAAGTTGGTACTGGAATCCTTGTTAGACTGAGAGGCCACCACTTTGGTAGTTGATCCCATTCAGTAAATCCACACTAGAAATAATAGAGAAGCAGTGCCTAAAATAAACATAGTGTTTCTCATGAATATATATATATATATATATAATATCAATTTCTATTCATACAGATTATTCGTGTTGATTCCCAGTGATGGCATTCACAGCAGTAAAAAGAACTTTGTGAGGATCGATCTGTACCATACACTGTAGAATTCAGAAGGATGCAGATTATAGCTAGTTCTTAGTTCTGCAGGGTAATCTATCAAATGCATAGGCTTTCAAGTCTGACACATGAATTGCATGAAGGTCAACAAGGTCAAGTGCAAGGTTCTATACCTAGACTGGAGCAATCCCCAGATTTTGACCAAACTAGGTGAGAAATTGACTGGGAAAAGTCAATTTCTGAGAAGAATTGTGTATGAAAAACTAATTGTAAGCCAGCAGTATGCACTTGCAATCCAGAAAGCCAATTGTATCCTGGGGTTCATCAGGAGAGGCCAGCAGGGGAGGTGATTATACCCCTTTTCTCTGCCCTCATGAGGCCCTACCTGCAGTATTGTGTGCAGACTTGAGGATCCCAGCACAAGAAAGATGCGGATCTATTGGAGCTTGTCCAGAGGAGGCTATGAGGATAGTCATAGGTCTGGAGCACCTCTCCTATGAAAACGGGCTGAAAAAGCTGGATTTATTCAGCCTGAAGAAGAGAAGGTTCTGGGAAGACCTCATTATAATCTTCCAGTATATATAACAGGCTTATAAAAAAGATAGAGAGGCCTTTTACCAGGTCCTGCAGTGACAAGACAAAAGGAAACAGTTTTAAACTCTTTTAAAGTGGAAGAGGTTAGAATTAGATCTGATACAAGGAAGAAATTTTTCAGAACGGGAGTCATAAGGCACAGGAACCAGTTGTCCTAAGAATTTGTGGATGCTCAGCTATTGGAAGTGGCCCAAGTAAGATTGGACAGAGTTTTAAAACACCTGGGAGGAGTTTTGAAACAGCAGATGTCCCTGCTCATAGCAGAGGAGTTGGAATGGGTGAACTTCAAAGGTCCATTCTAAACCCAGAACATTCTATGATTCATCTTTTCTATGATAGAATTTCCAGGAAGTCAAATAATATAAGCTTGTGACTGCGGTCTTGATAAATGTTAATTTTATATAAGTTTAAAACACAAGATATAAATCCTAAATCAAAAGCTATTAGTATAAAATTAGTTTTTTTTTTTTCCCTTCTCCTAGAAAATTTCAGAAATTAGTGAAGCAAACAAACTATTAGCTCTTCAGCTGGAAAAATCAAATAGGTTGTTAACATTAAGCCAATCGAGGGAGGAATCACTAAAAGAAGGTAAGGTCTTGGCTTTTTCCTAAAAAAGAAAAAAAAAACAACCCACAAAAAAGTGCTTTTTGCTGTATTCAAGAAGTTCTGAGAAATACCTCCATTATTTTCAGTCATATAAAGTAGTAAGGATGTTAGATACTGTGTTAAATGTAGTGATGCTTGTTTTGTGGCATGTAATGGAATCTACCCTTCCACCAACCTTTCCACCAAGGAGGTGGATGTAACAGAAAGAGATCAATCTTTAAGGCAGAGTTTTCTCTTTTGGAACACACTGACTATGCCTGAAAATAGCTTTGTTCTTCATTCTTTCAGTGGCACCCACAATAATCTTTTCTATAACTTTTTTAGGGACTGAGGTTAGACTGACAGGTCTGTAGTTTTTGGTGTCTTCTTGCACGCTGTTCTGGTAGATGTGCATAACATTGGCTAGCTTATAGATAACAGCAACCTCCCTGGAATTCCAAAGTCTTAAACACAAAGACAGTACTGCTCTTTCAGGTATCCCCTATTTGTGGTTTTTAAAGAGGGGAAATTGCATTGTGGCTGTATCTTTACTCTTTCCTGAAGTATCTTGTACTGAGAATTATGGTACAGGACAGCAAACTGAGAAGAACTCTGGTTTAACTCATTAGAAACTGAGAAGAACTCTGGTTTAACTCATTAGAAACATTTCTTTCTCTATTGAGCCCAAAAGACAATGAAGGACAGTGATTCAGAAACAGAGCAAGATGCTTAATTACTGATGAAAGCAAAGAGGAGCTTTTTTAGATGAAATATATTTTAAAGACAAAAAGAGAAATGTTGACAAAAAGAAGAAATTATTCTTATCATAAAACCCATGGGATAAAAGATAATGAATACGAAAGAGACAATGCAGTAAGTCAGAGCAGCTGGGACACCGTAAGCAGAACAGACTGAAAACAGATGGAAGTCAGAAGTGAGGTTTGGGCTATGTAAATTGCCTCACTTCAATGAGATAAGAGTGAAATGACTTGAGGAGATAGTTATGCTGACAAAACTGGAGAGAACAATCTCTGGAGCTGTTTTGAAACGCATGATGGAAAAAAAAATGTGGATGGCAGAAGTCCAAGTAAAAATGCCAGAGTAATCAGCATGAAATATGAAAGTTCAGCAGCAGGGGAAAAAACAAAACAAAACAAAACAAAAAAAACCACCTCAATAATATTCAAGATGCAGTAATTTAGAAATTAGTAAGGACATAGATAGGAGGCAGAATTTTTGGAAGCTGATAATTGTGGTCTATGATTAATAGAGACAGCCAACATGTTAGCAGCAGTAAAACACAAAGTAAAAAGAGGTAACTTGAAACATAGTAAGATTTCCAAGATCTGTTTCTGAAATCTGTTTGGTAATGAGATGAATAAGAGATACCAAGGGCATAGAATCTATTTAGAAAATAAGCTGATTAATGTGGCTATATTCTCTTAGGTTAAAATGTGTACCAGCAGAGTACTCCAATAGAATTCTAGCACACCACAAAATTCAAAGTGTTTATGTAAGTAACATTTTTGAATGACATTCATTAAAGGTAATCAAACTGTAGTTTCTCAAACCATTTTGTTCTATGCATTGCCATAATCAGCAGTGGATGTTGTCAGAGAAATTTTCAGGTAAACATGAGTTACTATGTTGCTGAGCGTCAGCAGTAATTACAATGCTAAAAATACTTTGAAAGGACATTATAGGTTATTAAGTAGTTATAAATTGCAGTAATTATAAAATATTTTCAAAGCATTTTGCCTTTTATTTTTAAAATTGATAAAGCAGACTTAGTAAATTTAATAAAATCACAACTTAAAGTAACAGCATACAGTACATTCAGACTGGCACCAGAGCTCTGCAAGTGTTGTGTCAGGTAGTTTGGATATTTGTATCAGCACCTGATAGTCAAAGCACCTTGGCAGTGAAAAAGACTTCTTACTTCTCTTGGGGATATAGAGGAGTCCTGCATGGAACTGGAGAAGATGTTTGGGAACAATGTATCATTGATTCTTCTATTCTTGTTCTGGCAAGAGTTATCCTAACAGACTCTGCATGTGAGAATGGCTTTTATATAATGATAGGGCCAACTGTGGCTTGGAAAAGAGATTTCTTCTAGGCTCATGTCCCAAGCCACTTCCCAAAGTCCAGCTCAGTCACATTTCCCAAGAGTATCAGTAGAAGAACTGATTCAAAAGCAACTGAAATTTCTGGATATGAATGGCTGTGTCAAATTTTTGATGAACAATGTCAACATGCATTCTTAATGTGTGTAGGTTCTCAAGTTGAATAAGATTCTGAAGTTCACCTTTTTGCAAATTTAATACAAGAGCAAGTGAGTTTATAGGATAGATAAACAACTGAGCCTTAGCAGTAGACCACAAGGCGATTCA